TTGGCATTTGATTGAGAACAATCTGATCTTACTACTGCACTATAAAGTAATTGCAAGAGTTCGCCTCAACCATAGTTGATGTCTTTCAAGTTGTACAGTTGTTGAACTTTTCCAGTATAAAGCACCCTTGTAAAACCTTATACACTATGTCAGGTAGGCTTCATAATACATCACTGCTATAGCTCCACCTTCCTGTGCTTTAAGTTAGTTTTCTTGTGATAACTTTAATACGAAACCGATAATATGATTCCTTCTTTTATATTGGATATTCAAATGACTTACTCATCCCGACTTAAGCTTGATTTATCTAAACTAGAACATAATCCCTTTGATGCACGGGAAAACAAGATTGAGACTGTATTTGAACATTAAATATTAAATAATAATATTTTTCATACAATATTAAAAGTTATAGTACAACGTTATTTGGTCCACGTGAGTAATAATGAAAATATATAAAAATCACAGATTATTGAATACCTCACTGTGGACCCGAGTATTAACCTATGACGGCTAACCCTATTGACCCAATTTTTAGAAAAATATATTTATGCTTTTTGAATGAAACTTATTTTAATTCATGTAGGAAATAGTTATGAGAAATCATTATTGTTTAGATTTAAAATAGAATTTACATGTACACTAATTTTTATAGTACTTTTATATATAATGTAAAAAGTAAGTATTGTTCATATTTTTAATAACAATAATTGCGTGATTTGCAATAAACGTGGTAACCTGATGACCAGACCGGTGAAATAATCAGGCCAACCAACAAATAACTGATTTATTGTGTGAAGAGAAAAAATTATAAGCAATAAACAAAAATCAACTGATTATTTCTTACTAAGTATTAATTAATTAAAGAAAAAAATCAAGGCAATCACAGTTAAAGCAGTTTGGGATATTAAATTCTTATCATGTGGTGTTCTTCTACTTTTACAAAAAGTGATTTCTATTATTATTAAAGAAAATCAATGAAAAATTAGAAGAAAAATCAATTTCTATTATTAGTTACGAAAAATCAATGAAAATTAGACACAAATCTAAAATTTTGGGTGGCAAGTTTGGTGGGGTACAATCATAATAAAGTTTGCAACGACTTTTTTTGAATTGGTAACTATGATCTTGTGTGATTTTTAATAGAGTTATTTTTTGTTGACAATTCTCCTGACATAGTGCTAATAATGAACTAGATCAAAATGGCTAAATTAAATTCTAGTGTTTCTTCTATTAGTGAAGTTTCTAGAAAAAAAAATATCAAACGACGCAATACACCTTGGGTCGCTACAGAAACAACCTCCTTGTATAATTACAAGGGTAAAGTCTGCGTACAACTGACCCCCCAGACCCCCAACCAGTTGGGAATATACTGGGTATGTTGCAACTAAACAAAATTAGAGATTATGAAAAGAAACGGATATGACGACAATTTTTTATTTTTTATTTTTTTATGCAACTCCCTCATTTATTTTTGTAAATGACATAGAATCCTATTATGAAAAAAATAATAAATACATAAACCTAGATAAGATAAATATGATAAACCTAAATAAGATAAATATGAAATTTTTAATTTTAGTAAGAACAAATGGTGGGAAAATCAGTCTATTTCTTGAACTAGTGGAATAATATTTTGCAGTCTTATCGTTGTGTATCATTTCTTGTAAATCCATTGCTGCTTAAAAGTTACTCCAAATTGATCAGGTCAATGAAGATCATGGGCATGTGACAAAAAATCCATCTGCTTATGTTGAATCAATCAACTCAGCAGGAAGAGGGCTGCATAGGTTGATCCTACAGTCCTTAATCACTCTGTGTGTGTGTGTTTACTGTTCTTGTGCATCAACTTTTCAGTCTTTTCTGTTGTATCCTAGAGAAGATTGATGAATATGGCAATATAATGTTATTTTATTCTGACCTCTTTAATTTATTGTAGGATTGGAACTGTATTTTATTATTGTGCAACACATTTATCTTCTGGTCTGGGTCCAGATGACTACGTGCATAGCTTACTTGAGGTGTTCTGGCCAGTGCTTGAGAAGCTGTTAACTTCTGAACTCATTGCAAATACAAGCTTGTCTACAGCTGCTTGCAGGGCTCTTGCACTAGCAATTCAGGCGTCAGGTCTTACTTTTTTTTATCATATTTGGGTTTTGCTCATGAGAGCTATTCTACTCAATGACTTTGACAGCAAAAGGTTTCATACACAGCCTCTTCTAAACCATAAATGTTTGTGCACCATCAAATTCCTAGGCGCAATATTTCAAGTTCAAGTGGATTCGGAGAGCTTAGGAGATAATTGCGTCTGAACATAAATTATCACCCCACCACCCCCACCACATAAAAATAAAAATTAAAAAAAATGGATAACTTATGGTTTAATTCTGTATTGATGTTTAAATAAGGAGACTTGTTCATAACATAATTTGGCTATTTTGCAGGTCCAATGTTTGGGGCGCTGCTGCCTAAGGTGCTCGACTCTATGTCAACCAATTTTATGTCATTTCAGAGTCATGAATGCTACATAAGAACAGGTGAAACATTTAATTAGGACGAGTGATATTGGTGTTTTTGCAGTATAAAAAATTTCATTAAAAAGAGCTTCAAAATTTCATTGTTATTCGTGTTATGCTTTGCATACCTCTCAATTTTTTAGAGCTGAGAAAGCATTCTAAGAAGGGTATCTGCATATATTCTCATTCTTCTTTCACTTGCATCTCTAGTAACACTCATAAATGAGCTTGTTTAAAACTCATTCCCGAAAACTAGCTCAAAGGAGAGTGCCTGTCCTACACAATAACAACCCTGTAACTTGGTGATGTTGGACGAACACAATTTCTAACACCCGTCCTCATGCCTAGCGTGGCAATTCAACTGGTTGGGTCCAAACTTGACATCACCTCCAGACAAACAAATTGGGGTGTTTCAGTTCCATGCTGAATAGGCTTGGGTAGAACTAATCATAGAAAAGCTGATTCAAAGGGAGAGGGTGTTCGAGCTACACTTATAGACAAAACCACCCAACATAACTTGGTGAAGTGGTAAACAAAACTTCTATCAAACATAAAGGAAGAAAATAATCTTATTAATCCGCTGAACGAGATTTAACTGGAAAAAGTAAATTAAAAGTGTGCTAATATGTTGATCGTAACACCTCTTCCAAGTATCTTCAGGGCTACTGCGTCTTTTGTTGAAATTATATTCTTAAGATTATAACGTGATTCAGCGAACCTAATTTTAGACTTATGAAGTACCAATTTTGTATTTTGGTTTTGTGCATAGTAGAGCTAAAAAAAGGTGGTCCTCTAGTTTGGTGATTCATATCTTATTTATATGTCCTTAGTGATTAAACTTTTTGAACACTCATAATTATTATATCGCCTTTTAATATGTTACAAGAACTTGGTAATAACAATAAGAATACATATCAAATACTTATTATATCAAATCAGCTGTTGCTTTCTTTCGGTCTTTCTCCTTTCTAGGTCTCATTATCATTACTGTATTTCAGCTTCTGTCATTGTTGAAGAATTTGGAGGTAAAGAGGAATATGGACCTCTATTGATCAGGACATTTGAACGATTTACTTCTTCAGCCTCAGTAATGGCTCTTACTTCATCATATATCTGCGATCAAGAACCTGATCTGGTTGAGGCCTACACAAATTTTGCATCTGCGTATATGCGCAGTTGTCGAAAGGTGCTCCTTTTTTGTTTTGCTACAATCTTTTAGTTATTAATGGATTATGCTGTGAGAGATTGATTTAACCGAGATTTTGTAAGATGAATGTTGTACTACCATCATGCATGTTTCATATTCTGATTTCTTAATGTGTGTAACGGAAATCGATGCTAATTTACATTTCAGGAAGTATTAGCTGCTTCTGGTTCTCCTTTTGAACTATCCTTACAGAAGGCAGGAATTTGTTGTACAGCTTTGCATCGGGGTGCTGCTCTATCAGCCTTGTCATATATGACCTGTAAGCGCTGTTAAAAGGACATAACATATGTGTCTTTATGTTTTTTCATTTTTGGTACTTGTAACTTCCTCTACCTCAACGACTTTACCATGTGGATACAACTGTATAGAATTCTGATATTTTCCAAATGGGAATCAGCAATTCTGATGTATTTCTCCTGTTGGATAAGTTTTAATTAATGTCAATTTTTAGTAATGCCTTTAGGTATAATCATAACTGTCAACATATCTGTTCAATAATCCATTAACATTAATTCGTGAGAATGGCATTATTAGGTTGATTATGTGATTTGTTATGTAATTTTTCACAGTTAAATTCTGATGACATAACCATTTGGTAAATTTTAACATAGATATTTCTTAAAAATACATAATCTGTTAGGTAATAAATCATTAACATGCAATAATAATTGCATAACAAATAACATATATTTTTTCTATTTTTATTATATATTCATTTGAATGTCTGTTGTAGATCGTGGAAAGACGACTAATTTTATGTATAATGCATCAAATTGGATGAATAACAACTAAGTTATGGATGAAATATGAATTAAACATAAACAATATATAAAGAGATGAATAACATGTCCTTGTGAAAAATAAAATCAATGTTCCTATCACTAAAAACTGAAAATAAATTTGGACCTCTAAAAATTCCCCCATGATTTTTTGCATGTGCATGTCATATTAATCCATAAGTTCGATATCTAATTAATAATTATAAATAATTATTGCATAAATTCAATTTTATGACTCATTAAATCTATTGCATGATAAAAGTAAGAGCACGTGGATTATTAATCTAGTCATGCATCACACGAGTTTCTATATTGAAGTTAATATATGCTTCATAACTCCACTTATATATACAATGCGATCTGTGGGGTAATAACTAGATTTCTACAATAGTTTGGTTATACTATACTCCTTACTCGTTCTTGATGTTTCAGGTTTCTTGGATGTTGGCTTTGCTTTCCTAGTGGAACCTGAAGCTTCTCCATCTGATATAGCTGTTAAAAATATGGTGATAAGGGTCACATCTGTCAGTGGTGAGGGTCTCATATCGAATTTGGTGTATGCGCTACTAGGTGTATCCGCAATGTCAAGGGTAAGCACGATATCTGTTTTCACATGTGGAATATTGGTTGAGATTGGACTGGTGTATCATTCAAAATATCCTTTGATGTTCCCATGACTATGCTTAAATAATACATCAGTTAGATGTTGCTCCCAATCTCTGAACACAAGGAAGGTGGCTGCCCTTATTTGCTATTTAATAGGAGAATCATACTGCTACGCCAGGATTCGTACATCTTTGCTTATTGCCTTGTGTTGATAGATTATATTTTGTCTCGTGCAGGTTCACAAGACAACAACTATTCTCCAGCAATTGGCAGCAATGTGCAGTTTAAGTGAAGGGACAGAGTGGAAAGCTCTTTGCTGGGAAACTTTACAAAGATGGCTTTATTCTGCTGTCAGTCTCTCTATCT